CTCGGAGACTGTGAACGATGGGGATCAGGAGTTCTCTGAATGTTATGAAAGCATGGTGGCTTTCAACCCATCTGGTGGCGCATAGAGTTTTAAGGCGACGGCTCCTGGACGTGGGTGCCTCAGTTTCCACCTTGTCTTCCAAGAGTCTTATACGCGCGGAGGAGCTCGTGAAGAAATTACAAGTGCTCCCAACGACGCCAGCTGCAAGCCGGATCGAGACAATCTCACTGAAGTGCACCAGCGCAAGATTCAAACAATAACTTGCGCAGTGAAAGTACAACGCTTCGGGCACCTCAGCTTTGATTCGGGCTTGAACGCCCTTATATTGACCGCTCATCGAACTGCAGCCGTCATAACCTTGTCCCCTCAGGTTTCTCACATCTAAGCCCTCCTCTCTGAGGTTATCCAGAATCGTCCGGGCGAGCCCCGCGCCTCTTTTCTCGACGACATCACAAAATTTCAAGAAAACCTCTCTGATCACTCTGTGATCATCCTGGAATCCTACATAGCGAGGACAAATTGACAATTGATCTGTCTTGCCAGCATCTCTGGTTTCGTCGGCAAGCACAGAAAAAAATCTGGATTGGTTGATATCGTCAACAATTATTCTCCGAATAACTTCGCCTATGGCATCGATGATCACATTTTGGGATCTTCCGCGGATGTATGTTGCGTTCTGACCCGCATTTATGAGATGTTCCTCTAGGAGCTTGTCTCCGGCATCGAGACGGTATCGGAGCAAGGCGCGGAAGTTGCCGTCATTTGCGTCTTCAGCGGTATCTTCGAGCTTCCCTTGGTCTTGATGACCTCTGAGCGGAACGTTCTGCCTCCTCTACAAGATGACAGTTTTGATTATGGGTATTAGTCGCTGTCTATTCCGGAGTACTTGCTGCGAGCGCGCAGTCGACATTCGATTTCTAACGTCCCGTGAAGTTTTGTCCTTACACCACTCAAGGAATAGTTCTGCAGCCTCGCTTGCTTCGAGGTGGTAGCGACTTTCACCGTGAGCATTGAAAACCTCGAGAGCTTTTTTGAACTCCGATAGAGGTCGAGAGATCAGGAGTCCGAGAGCTCGGGGTCCACCCTGATCAGAAGATTCTCTTGCGAAAAGAAGGCAATGCTTACAAAAGGCACCACCTCCGTGCATCTCGCTGTACGCCAGTCACCCCCAAGTTTCGAGATAGCGATGTTGGAGCTGCGACTGCGACCCGACTCTAATGTTTTCGGAAAAGTATAGGAGACGTCGGGTTTCCAACAGTTCTCGAGCACTTCGTACCGTTGCTCATCGGTGAGGGGGGGATCGGAGCTGGGATTTAAACGGACAAATGTCCATAGGATGATAATTCAATCTCTGTTTTTTGGGAGGTACCTCTGAGTTCGCTGCCGTATCCGATGGGGGCTCCGTCGGGGACGACGCCCCTTCTCGACTAGTTGAAGGTGGGCTCTCTGCCGTATTTTCAGCATCGGCACGACTGGCACAGATTGGCTGTTTCGAGAAAAAACGACTGAGTTTTGCCTGAGCTTTAATCCCCGATGTTTGTTAAACTAAGCAAGAATAAGAGGAACAGCACGAGACGGCTATCACAATTCCTTTTGGGTGATTTGGCTGCTAGTCGCCGTCGTGCAAAATTAGGTCACGCGGAGAACTCTTTACAGGTTCTTAAGTCACCGAGATAAGTCATCTTTTTTCGACGGATAGAGTTTATTAATTTGTCAATCGAGGTGGCGGCGCGCTCAATTTCAAAGGATCGTTCGCCATCAAATTCTCGAGGAGCTTCGCTACTAGTTCTAGGTCCGACTAAGGTAGTATGAACCAAAAAGTTTTTGGGGGGGCATGGCCCCCTTGCCCCCCCCCCCTGTGCGCGCCTCTGGCAATGCAACACTAACGGGTGCAAGGAGGCCCACGACCTTCTAGAGAACACACTGGAAGCAACCGGGTACGATCTCGCTCTTGTGAGCGAACCTAACCGCGCTCGGATGCGAGGAGGCAATTGGGAGGTCGACCAGCGAGACGATGCAGCCATATGGGTGTCGAGGGACCTGAAAGGAGAGATGAGAGCGACAGGAAGAGGAAACGGATTTGTGTGGGCCGATGTCGGAGTGGCTATTGTCTACAGCTCTTCCATCTTTTCTCTAATATGTTTCTTCACCGTATTATTGAAAAGATTCATTCTCGGTCTGAGGTCCTCTGTGTATACAATCGGTATGTTTCCGCATGAGTATTTATCGCTGAGGTGGCGCATTCTTCTGAGCGCTGCTGTCGTTATCTTCGTTGTGGCCATCATGGACAGTATCATGCGTGGCCACCGGTCGGGCTCCATCGCGCTTATTCTCGCGAAATATCGGATCTTGCTCTGCGCTTCTCTCGATTCGAAGGTTGACCACCCGAGTTCGCCTTGTACGAACTCGTTCGCGACTTTATATTCCTTTATTCCCAGTGCCCATTTCCCAACTGCAGTCTGAATTCTTTCGAATTCAGCCGTCATTTGGTTTGAGGCCCGAGACGCTAATACCGCATTCGCGTATGTGAGTTTCGGTACTCCCGTTGCCTTCCATTGTATTCGTGTGATTTCGAATCTGTTGAAGGTCCATAAACATTGGGCGTGCAATTGTTGTTTAGCCTTCCTTGCCTCCCTCTTCCAGTTCAGTTCCTCTTGGAGTAGTGCATCAGCTCCGTCTCCAGGTCCGCTATGTATAGCGCAAAGAGTATCGGTAACATCAGGCATCCTTGTCTGAGACCCACGTTCGTCCGTAGGCTCATCGAGGTATCTTCACCGGCGACGATTCTCACACTATTATTGGAGTAGATCGTCTTTATCACCTTGATCCAACTGGTGTTCATACCCAGGTCTTCCAGTTTTTCCCAAAACTTCGTGCGGGATATTCGATCGTACGCTTTCGAACAGTCCAGGAAGCATGCCAGCATTCCTTTCCTTGTTTCGAGCGAACTCGATCGCCGACGTCAGGATGAATATATTATCGGCTCCACGTCTGTCCCGTCTGAAACCGCACTGCATTTCTCCGAGTATCTTCTCCTTCTCCATCCATTCAGTTATTCTCGTAGTTAATATCTTCGTGAATATCCTGTAGAGTACCGTGGATACAGTTGTTGGTCTGTACGTTTCCAGGTCTCCCGTTTTGGAGTTCGGTTTCTCGAGCAGTGAGACTCGCCCACGTTTCCAGTCTTCTGGGATGGGTTCTCTCCCTTCGAAGATGTCATTGATTAGATCTGTAATATAGTCTAGTCCTTCGGTCTTCATATGTCATATCATCTAGTCCTGTGGCTGTCTTGTTGGGTATGTGGGATAATATCGCCTCCATCTCCAGCTTGCTCCTTTGAATTCCCGAGCTTTCCAGCGTTAGCGGTTCGTGGGTATCTTGGGAGCATCTCTCGGCCATCAGCATGGTACATCCTTTTCTTGTTAGGTATTCGCTGGCTCCGTCTCGGGGGATTTTAGCGCCGTTCCCGTCTCTAATTATGATGGGGCGTCGGTTTTGTTTTGTATGATTAGACACATACCTCCAAAACCTTTTCGATCGCTCGTGACGAGGGCCCTCAAGTATTTTTCTACTGCGATTCTCGTGACTCTCCTCTCTTCGACTGAGATAGCTTCGGTTAGCTGTTCCTGTTTATGTCGGAATTCAGCCTTCATTCGTAGTATCTCATGCCAGTTTCGGGTTCTCATCGCTTCCCTCCATTTCTTATTCGCCTCTTTCTTCTCCTTAAGAGCATTTTTTAGCCCAGGTGAGTCAAAAATATTATCGCTACTTTTTCTTGTTATTTTGGTGGCTCTCCGAATGCCTTCTCGGATTGCTTCCTTGGAGGTCAGGTAGTCTACTGTATGCTGTAGCTTTTCTGCCCTCTCAATTTTCTCCATTGCGATATTAGCTGCTTTCAATTTGTTTATAATCTTCACCAATATGTGACATATCATACTAATAAGGTTGTGGTCACTCAATTGTGTGACCTCCCTCTTTTCGTCCACTATCATGTTTTGACACGTTCTATATACCGTTTCATTACATAAGATGTAGTCGATGGTGGCCTCTTTCCTCGTGTTTCAGACTTCGCATAGGTCAGACGAGTTCAAGATAACCATCCCTCGCCGATCCGCAAACTCCAATGATAGTCTGCCTCTCGTGTTGTTGTGCTCTCGGAAGAGATGTGTGTGAGCATTCATATCTCCTCCGATCACCACTCCTTCCATTTGGCATCTTTGGTCGATGAATTGAGGTACGGAGTTGAGCTGTTGTCTACTCGACTTCGGGACTGAGTGAGTGCAGTATATTGATATTATAACCCATTCCTCAGCTCCGTTTTTGAGCGTTGCCGCAACCCAATCATCCCCCGAGCCTTTTAATTCAAGCTCGAGATGTTGTGCTGCGAGTATTCCGACTCCTCCGAAGGCTTTCCTCCCTGAAGTTCCTTGTCTATTTTTCCCTATC